TGCTATACCTTCTTTGTGCTGCCCCAATAAGCAACTAGAGGAGAATGCAGGAGAGTCTACCTTGTGTCACTCAATAGACACTCTTTAGTGAGGACTAAAGACAGCAGAGTATGAAACTAGTGTCTCTAATGTCTAGTGCTGGTTGTGGTGATGGTGATGAAAATTCTGTTTATCCCACCACTGCAGTCATGGAACTTTTACCTCTGGCCCAGGAGCTAATCAACCATGAGTATGATGAGCCAGAGGAATTAAAGAGGAGAATGTGGAGAGGACAGGTAGCAGGCAAGCTATTGTGACACCTATTGTGCACTTGCCTCTTGCATATTTTCCTCCGAATCCATCTGTACCTGTTGTAGAATCATTTCATCCAATGGAAACAGTTGAAACATCAGCTGTACCTGTAGCTCATGAGTACCGTTGACACAAGTAGCTCAGCGACTGTCATTTTACCATTATCACCACAACTACCACCACCATCAACATCACTTATACCAGCACCATCAGCATGTATTATATTTTAGGGGTGGTGGGACACTTTTAGGAGACGCTTTACATCATATTTTTATATAGTGGTTCTTTTGTGTTTATATTGAGTGCACTGTATTGTGCCACCAAAGTAAATTTGTTGTAACTCTGTGTGCCTTAAAGAAGACTGACTTGCAAACTGTACAGCAAAGAAGTGAGTAGGGGTGACTGAAGGGTCATCTCACTCATGCCAGCATGCAGCAATGCCCACAAAATACCACAAATCTGTATTAAAAAAATACTAGGGCAGGCAGCAGGTCCACTAGTGCTGTATCTGATTCTGCACAGTTGCCACAACCTTCCACAAGCACTACCTCCTTTGCTGCTGCTACTACCACCACCTCCACCATTATGCGGAGCAGGGGTGACGGTAAAGATATCAACAGTAGTCAACAGAGGCAGTTTGGACAGGAACAGTCACACCCTACTTCAAACAGTAATTTAAAGAACAAAAGTTAATCTTGCCTAACTGCCACTGTCAGTGACACTTAAGCCCACTGCTTGTTCTTTGGAAATTTAAAGCTTCTTCCCTCAGGAATATACACATTGTGTGGCTGCAGTTTACTACACAAGTGAACCTTGCTTACCCTGAGAGAGTTTTCATTTTTTTTGTTTTTTTTTACTCTTTATAGAAAAAAAAGTATTCTAAAGTGTGGTGCTGGTGTTCATCCCCTTGTTCACCCTCATAAACAAAAATGAAATTACTCCTGCTGCTTTACTTTTTTTAGATGCATTTTATTGTGGCTTTGTCCTGTCGGTCTGAGTTTTGTAATGCATGTTACCTTCACAGATACAGTGGGAAGACGCTGGAGGAGGGCATGGTCAATACCACCTATTCACCCTTTTCACCCTTGGGAGAACAAAACTTTCCCACAAATCCACCAACCACATATATGAACCAGGGATTACATTATTTAGTATTACTATTATCTTTCAGACACACAGAAAGGATCTAATAAAATAAATAATTGTCCGATTCTGTGATATTAAAAATTAACTTACTCACAGTATGTTAAATAAAGTTATTGATCACATCTGTGTTGACTCTGTACTTTGTAATAGAACTGTGTTTTGGAAACTGTCAAAGTGCTGATAACTATTTAGGTTAGCTGAGGATAATCCAATTTTGTGTATGTTAATCAGTGGTTTTCAAAAATAGACATAAATAATTACATTTGTAGTTTTCACAAGGCAATTGATGATGAACATAAATGTGTACATTTTACTAGCTAAGCTCACTTAATATATACATTATTGCAGCTTAAAAATCTGGGTGGCAAGAAACATAAATGGAAATGTATGCAATTAACATAAATGTGCTGGATAACTATATTCCTTATTGCTTGTAAATATTATTTTCCCATGCCTTACATTGTGATTTCCAGAGAAATGTAATACACATGGAAAATAAATAGCAGGAAAATGTTATATTAATGTTTAGTTATATTTTATTGGAGCAAACACTTTATAGTGTTTGCAGTGTTAGAACTAACGTAGAGAAGGCCCTGGTACAAGATTTTTTTGGGGGCCCTCTATCACAATGATGGAAAAGAGGTAGATCCCCATCTGTCATTCTGCCACAATGCTTTGGCAGCTGGGGGTCTTCCATTTGCCCATCCTTGCTGGGTTGTAGCACATGTCTGTATGTATAGCATTAGTGTATATATATATATAGTTATATGGGTAGTTTAAAATGTATTGTGTGTAGATGTGTGTTGGTATCATTGAGTGTTTAGTGTAAATGTAAGATTATTTGTTTTTGCTTTTATGGATATATATGTGTATTGCTCTGTGAAGATGGCTGCATGTCTGTTATGTTTGAATGTAATGTGTAGAAGCATTAAATTCGCCTTTTCAAATGCTTCTATGCTAACATTTCTGTTATTTATCGTCCCCCTGGTTCCCCTCTCCTCTTACTTGACCACTTTGCTGCCTGGCTACCCTATTTCCTCTCTTCTAATAGTCCATCCTTAATTCTCAGGGACTTTAATATTCCCATTAACCTACCTTTGACCTTAGCAGCCTCCAAACTACTTTCAATTTCTTTCTTCCTCCGGCTATCACAGCGGGCTAATTCTCCCATCCATGTAGCAGGCAATAGTCTTGACCTAATTTTCTCGAATGCATGTACAGTATCTAATATCTGCAACACTCCATTTCCTCTCTCTCTGATCACCACCTCTTATCGTTTGCTCTCGTGTACCCCCTCACCCAACAACCTCAGCCTAACCCCCCTCAACTCAGGAGGAACCATAATTCTCTTGATCTCTAGCAGCTGTCAGCTGATATTGATTCACAACTGCTATCCATCCCTTCCCTCTCTTGTCCTTAACTGGCCATCTCTGCATATAACACTACCCTCACCTCTGCCTTGAATGCTGCAGGACCACTCCAAACAAGCACCTGGAGGAGAACAGTCAGACTTTCTCCATTAAAGATTGATATTGTGTTCATAGAGCGCAGCCCTTGCCCTCGCCAAACAGTCATACTTTTACTCTCTCATTAGTTCAGGTTCCTGCAATCCCAGGCGTCTCTTTGACACCTTTAATTCTCTTCTTTGGCCACACCCCAAACTAACCTTTGCATGTTACTTTACCGACAAGATTGAACCGCTAAGGAAAGAATTCTCCCCTCCTTGCCGTTCTCTTTCTCAACCACAAGTAGATCATGCCTTTCCTACCCTTCAGACATTCTCCCCGGCTACTGACCAAGAGGTGGCTGGGCTTCTCTTTTCCTCTCGCCCTACCACTTGCCCGCTCAATCCTGTCCCATCTCACCTTATCAGATCTCTCTCTACTAGAGTTGAGCTGGACACCTGGATGTTCAGGTCCGGCGGGTTCGGCCGAACTTTGAAAAAAAGCCCGGGTTCAGGCTCGAACTTGACCCCGAACTTGACCCCGAACCCAAACCTCATTGAAGTCAATGGGGACCCGAACTTTTGGCCACAAAAATGCCTATAAAAACTCCTGGAAAGGGCTAGAGAGCTGGAAAAGGAAGTAAAATGGGGGTAAGAGTGGGACAAGTGCCCTGCAAACCAATGTGGATAGGGAAATCACTTAAAATAACATAAAAATTTAAAATACAGCTGAGCCATAAAATAGCACTATATGGAATCTTTGACTTTAGCTTTGGAAGAACATAAATCAAAATCTAAAGCATGGCTGTAAGGAGGATCACCAGAATTATCCATTTGAGAGAGGGGTGGAGTGCAGGGTATTCTCTTTCATTGTTCAAACTGAGCTCAACTCCAGATGCATGGAGAAAAGGCCTTCAGAAGCCTCTGCTAATGAGTACCTAGTTTACTCTAAGTGACCCATAGGTTGAGGCGCCGGTGACCGTGGCGGTGGAGGAGGAGGATGAGGTAGCCAACACTGTTATTTATGTTTTTTTTTTTATTGTGGTAGCTCACAAAATATTGGGACATAAAAAAAAAAGGAACATTTGCGGCCTGCGGTGCATTTCTTGCAGTCCTGATGCATGAGGAAATGCTCAACTTCTGATGCATGGAGAAAAGGCCTTCACAAGCCTCTGCTAATGTTTACCTAGTATATACTAAGTGACCCATAGGTTGAGGAGGCAGTGATCATGCGGTGGAGGAGGAAGCAGCGGTGGAGGAGGAGGATGAGGTAGCCAACACTGTTTTTTATGTTTTTTTAATTGTGGTAGCCCACAAAATATTGGGACATATAACAAAAGAAACATTTGTTGCCTGCGGTGCATTTCTTGCAGTCCTAATGCATGGAGAAATGCTCAACTCCTGATGCATGGAGAAAAGGCCTTCACAAGCCTCTGCTAATGTGTACCTAGTTTATACTAAGTGACCCATAGGTTGAGGAGGCGGTGACCGTGGCGGTGGAGGAGGATGAGGTAGCCAACACTGTTTTTTATGTTGTTTTTTTTTAATTGTGGTAGCCCACAAATTATTGGGACATACAACAAAAGAAACATTTGCGGCCTGCTGTGCATTTATTGCAGTCCTGATCCATGGAGAAATGCTCAACTCCTGATGCATGGAGAAAAGGCCTTCACAAGCCTCTGCTAATGTGTACCTAGTTTATACTATGTGACCCATAGGTTGAGGAGGCGGTGACCATGGCAGTGGAGGAGGAGGATGAGGTAGCCAACACTGTTTTTTATGTTTTTTTTTTATTGTGGTAGCCCACAAAATATTGGGACATACAACAAAAGAAACATTTGCGGCCTGCGGTGCATTTATTGCAGTCCTGATGCATGGAGAAATGCTCAACTCCTGATGCATAGAGAAAAGGCCTTCACAAGCCTCTGCTATTGTGTACATAGTTTATACTAAGTGACCCATAGGTTGAGGAGGCGGTGACTGTAATGGTGGAGAAGGATGAGGTAGCCAACACTGTTTTTATATATATATACATTTTAATTGGGTTAGCCCCCAAAATATTGGGACATATAAGAAAAGACAACTCTGTTCTGCAGAGTAGATGTTGACATTATAGTTGCGCAGGAACTTTGTTGACTCTAGAGAGCCTCGGGCAAATCGCACATGCCCGTGGAGGCGACTTTTCATGTGGATGTCATCCATATCAACTTTCGATGCCAGTTTCTGCGCCTACCCTGGTGACCACGGGTAACGGGGAATAAGGGTTCCATTCCGTACAGGGACACTGAGAAACGGCTACCACATTCAAGGAAGGCAGCAAGCGCGCAAATGACCCACTCCCGACGCGGGAAGGTAGTGATGACAAATAACAATACAGGACTCTTTAGAGGCCCTGTAATTGTAATGAGTCCACTTGAAATCCTTTAACTCTGATCAATTGGAGGGAAGTCTGGTGCAGAGCCACTGACCCGTGCGTGCTGCAGCTGGAACTCCACTATCACCTGCTGCTGCTCGCACAGTCTCATGAGTCGGTGAGCGGGAATGCCGAACTTATGCTGCAGCGCAGACAGGCGAGCAGCAGCAGTGTGACAACGCCAAAAGTGCGCACAGCCGCTACAGTGAATGTCACATCCTGTTCCAAGTTGCGAATCAGTCTGGTGATGGCTTCTGGTATCAAGTACTCTTTTTACTGAAGCTGTATCAGGGTCCTGGTATGTGGCCGCACAAACGCTGGAGCTCAACACCAGGGGGCGTGCAGTTACCCTGCACCAGACCCTGCTAATCCATTCCACACTGTGACTCCTAACTTCTACATCAGGCATACTGGGTCCCAGTCGCCCGACCGCTGCCCAGACAGTGTCTGGGTCCTGGTCACCGGACTGCCCACCTCACTGTGAAACTACGAATGGATCGTTAAATCTGGTAGGAACCCAAACTTTGCAGTTTGGTTTAGCTCAACTCTCTTATATACTTTGATCGCTACATGTATTACTTGGATGACTAGTAATTCTCAAGCTAATACATGCCGACGAGCTCTAGGCAACGGCCGCTCCGCTTTTGCACCCTGCTCCCTCTTATGCTGTGCTGGTGCCTCTTCCTCCAAACTGCACACTTCACTCGCATGACCTTGATTCCATGTGGGGTCTAGGACCTCATCATCCTCCACATCATCTTCCACCCACTCCTCAACCCTGCCCTCCTTGCCAGTATGCACACTGCAGAAAGCCACAGCAGTTGGCACCTATGTTTTTCCAGCATCTAAAGTCTGCAAAGGACATATGGAAATTGTTTTAGAATTGTATCCAGGCAACAGATTTCCCTATAAACTGACCTCTCACTTTGACTTGTGAGGGTATTGCCCCAGAATTACAATATTGTTGAAGTACCTCTTAGCTATTGATCACTGGTTTGAATATAGCAGCCGGTTATCTGGTAGTTTCTAGTGTAGAAAATATCAATCTGTTTTCTATCACTTAAATCTGTGTAACAAGTGTTGTAGGTGTGAAACAATATTACAAGTGACCGATGTAGTAAATTCAAGTCAAAGTTACGCTTCGATTTGACTCTCAGATATGAAGTGAACACCCCAAATATACTATTTAGCACCAAAAAAAATGACTTTTTTTAAAGCTCCAATGTAAGCAGCAGATTTGCAGCAAAAAAATTAGAATGTTTACAAATGCGCAGTAAGCGTACTATTTGACGCTTCTATTTGACTCTCAGATATGAAGAGCAGGCCAAAAAATTTACTATTTAGCAAATTAGCACCCAGAAAATAAGAATGTTTACCACTGCCCTGTAAGCGCACTATTAGATGCTTCTATTTGACTCTCAGATATAAAGTGCACACCCCAAAATGTACTATTTAGCAGATTAGCACCCAGAAAATAAGAACGTTTACCACTGCCCTGTAAGCGCACTATTAGACGCTTCTATTTGACTCTCAAATATGAAGTGCACACCCCAAAATGTGAAATTTAGCAGATTAGCACCCAGAAAATAAGAATGTTTACCACTGCGCTGTAAGCACACTTTTAGACGCTTCTATTTGACTCTCAGATCTGAAGTGCACCCCACTAAAATACAAGCAGTTTAGAACCCAAATAATTTTAAGTTTTAAAACTGCAATGTGACAGCAGTATTTGACTCTTCTATTTGACTCTCAGATATGAAGTGCACCCCACTAATGTACTACCCCACTAATGTACTATTTAGCACCAAAAATTTTTTATTTTTTAAAACTCCGATGTAACCGCAGTATTTGAAGCTTCTATTTGACTCTCAGATATGAAGTGCACACCACCCCACTAATGTACGAGTTTGCAGAATTATTTCCTAAGCTGCCCCTGTTAGCGGCAGCATCCTCTCCCTACACTAATAAGGCCGCATGTGCGTGCAGCGCTACGCAACTCCAGCTTATATATAGAGGCTGGGTCACATGCTGCACTGGCCAATCACAACCTTGCCATTAGTAGGCATGGCTGTGATGGCTTCTAAGGCCACACAAGTCAAACGCTTGTTGGTTGGCTGCCCTGCAGCCTTTCAAAATGCGCCATTAAATCGCCGAACACCGAACTCTAATCCGAACATACAGTGATATGTCCTTGTTTGGGTCCGGGGTTCAAAAAAACCTAATGTTCGGTACAAACCCGAACTTTACAGTTCGCTCAACTCTACTCTCTACCTGTCTCGTGCCTTCCTTAACGCACATCTTAAACTGCTCTCTCTCTTCTGGCATTGTTTCTGCTGATCTTAAACATGCCACTGTAGTACCTGTCCTGAAAAAAAATCTCTTGACCCGTCCTCCCATTCTAACTATCGTCCTATATCCCTGCTCTCTTTTTCCTCAAAGCTTCTGGAAAGACTTGTCTTTACGCGTATGTCTCAATTCCAACTCTCTCCTTGACCCTCTTCAATCTGGCTTCTGCCCATTCCTCTCTACTGAGACTTGGCTTATCAAAGTTACTAAAGACCTAATTGCAGCTAAATCCAAAGGCCACTACTTCCTACTAATTCTTCTTGACCTCTCTGCTGCCTTTGACACTATTGATCATGCTCTCTTTCTCCAAACCCTTCAATCACTCGGTCTCTGTGACTCTGTCCTCTCATGGTTTTTCTCTTATCTCTCCCAATGCTCATTCAGTGTCTCCTTTTCTAATGATACCTCATCCCCTTGTCCTGTCTCTGTTGGAGTCGCCCAAGCTTCTGTCCTTGGTCCCTTTCTATTTTCTCTTTAAACTGCCTCTCTTGGCAAACTTATTACCTCTTTTGGATTCCACTGCAACCTGTACGCTGATGACATCCAGATATATCTCTCCTCCCCAGACCTCTCTCTGTCACTGCTTGCCTTTCTTCCATCTCTGACTGGATGTCCTCCTGCTTTCTGAAACTCAATCTCTCTAAAACTGAGCTCCTTGTCTTTCCTCCTCCTAATACTGATCCTCCTCTTTCGCTCTCCTTTCAAGTTAGTGGTATCCACATAAGTCCATCAAGGCAAGTGCGCTGTTTTGGCGTCATACCTGATTCTGGCCTCACCTTTGAGCCTCACATCTAGTATGTTGCAAAATCCTGTAGATTCCATCTTAAAAACAAAGCCCGCATCTGCCCCTTTCTTACACAAGATGTCCATGCTCTAGTAATTTCCTGCATGGATTATTGTAACCCTCTCCTGATTGGTCTTCCCATAATGAACGCTGCCTCCAGACTGATTTTCCTCTCTAGTCGGTTCTCTCACACCTCCAGTGGTGTATCCTGGTTTTGTGCTGCCCTAGGCAGGACAAAACTCAGGTGCCCCCCTCCCCCCGCGCCACCCCCACCCAACCCTTCCCCCCGCCCCACCTTCTAAATACACACACACAGTCAGACACAAACACACACATACACAGTCAGACACACACACACAGTTAGACACAAACACACACACAGTCAGACACAAACACACACAGTCACATACACACACACAGTCAGACACATACACAGACACAAACACAGTCAGACACAAACACACACACACAGTCAGACACAAACACACACACAAACACACACACAGTCAGACACACACACACACACAAACACAGTCAGACACATACACACAAACACAGTCAGACACATACACACACACACAGTCAGACACATACACAGACACAAACACAGTCAGACACAAACACACACACACAGTCAGGCACAAACACACACACACAGTCAGACACAAACACACACACACACAGTCAGACACAAACACACACAGTCAGACACACACACACACACACACACAGTCACACACACTCACAAACACAGTCATACACAAACACACACACAGTCACACACACACAGAGTCAACACACATACACAAACACAGTCAGACACAAACACACACACACACACACACAGTCAGACACAAACACACACACAGATTAACTTTTTTTTTAAATTTAAATCCCCCCCCCAACCTCCTTACCTTTGTGAGTGCTGGGGGGGGGGGGTCTCTCTCCCTGGTGGTCCAGTGGTCCAGTGGCTGCAGGTCGGGCGGGCGGCCGGCGAGGGAGCACTTCCTATGAGCTGACTGCTCAGCTCCCTCGCGCGCCGCAGAGTGAGGCTGGGAGCCGGAAGATGACGTCATCTTCCGGCTCCCAGCCTCACTCTGCGGCGCGCGAGGGAGCTGAGCAGTCAGCTCAGGGGAAGAGCTCCCTCGCCGGCCGCCCGCCTGCCAGCGCCGCCCGCCCAGCTCGGGCTGTCAGTTAGCCGCAAGGCTAACTAGGCATTTGCCCTGGGCATTTGGGGGGCGGCGTTTTTTGCCGCCCCCTGAAAAATGCCGCCCAAGGCAAATGCCTTGTTTGCCTCGCGGCTAATACGCCCTTGCACACCTCACCCCTTTGTCAGTCCTTACTTTGGCTTCCTATATCCTTAAGGGGTTAATTCAAGGTACTAATTCACAGCTATAAAGCACTGAACAATTCTAGCCTCTCTTCCATCTCCTCACAGATCCATAGGTATGCCTCTTCTCGGTCTCTCCACTCTGCCCGTGACCACCTCCTGTCCGATGTTCGCACTCGTACAGCCAACTCACGCTTGCAGGACTTCTCACGGGCGGCTCCCTTCCTATGGAATAGCCTGCCTACCCGCCATCAGACTCTCCCCTAGTCTTGCATCCTTTAAGAAGTGCCTTATTACTCATCTATTTAGGAAAGCTTATGTCCTCCCAGAGTAACCTCTACCTTACATACCTGTCTCTTGCTCTCTCGTAAAGGGCAGCACACTACTCTCTCATCCAACTTTGCTTCACTCCCACCTTATTTGATTGCAAATTCCTGTCCTTTTGTGTTTTACACCCCACCTTCTATAGAATGTAAACTCGTTTGAGC